ATTGTACACATCCAAAGCAGAAGGGTTGGGCGCTACCGTGGTGTAAATCGTGCCACACAGTCTTCCCCCCAAAAAAAATTCCGAAAACCATAGAGCATATATTTATGCAGTGTCTGGGGGCTGTTCTTACATGATGATGGTGGGATAGGATCTGGACACTGTTGGACACTGGGTCCAATTGGCCATGGGATTGGAGGGCCATATTATGCAAGGCATGGACCACCCCCACTGACAATACTTTTGAAAATAACATGTTCAAGCTAGGGAGGAGAATAGTCATGTGGAGCCTCTGGAGAAAACGTTGTACCCATGCTATCAAGGGGGTTCGCATTGCCGAGGAAGATGTAACATACATGATAAAACAATATATTCAACAAGAACTCATGGTACAGAGGCAAAAAGCTAAAAATCAACTTGAGTTGTTTCATTCATCAAAGGACATAACACAAGCAATTCATCAATTTTATGGGGACTGGTTGGGCAGTGAGAACGAGGGCAGGATCGCATTTGTCCGACGGGATGGCAGGCCCGCCCAGGAGTGTAACCAAGAGGAATTCAGGAGAGACTACCGCATTTGTTTCAATGATTGGACTACGGTGCGCCAGGAGATCCCACTGCAACCACCCACATAATTTCCCGACCCCTTCCCACCCCACCAGTTGGCAATGGTCGATATGCAAATGGTATGGAGCAGAGTGAACAAGATCAGAGGAAAGACCACAAGCCCACGGATCTACAAATAGAACACAAAAGGCATCAGCGGGTATTCAAAAGAAGCAGGAAGTAGCTGCTAGGAAAACATGAGGGATCTGGCGGTCTAAAGCAGACTGAAGAGGTGGCGCCCTGAAGTGTACTGTTGTCCAACATACTTACCATTAACCCTGCACAGCTAATCCGCTGGAAACAGGGCAATCCCTGTTGGCAGGCTATCGGATGTGCAATGGGACGCTGGACCCGCTTTCCAGCATGTGCTGCTCCCCACCAATAGACCGGAGCACCCAGGTCTCTTGCTAGGAGGGGGTGCTCGTATGACCTCTCCTAGCAAAAACACTGAGTAATTAATTTAAAAAAAAAGAAAGAGAGAAAAGAAAAGAAAAGAAGATGGTCGTCGCTCTCGGCTGCGCGTGGGATGATCGTGTCCAACGAAGAAGTGACCGGCGAGCCATGCTCGAACTCAAAGGGCGACATCCCGATAGGGGAATGAATGGACGAGTTGTATGCCAACTCGACATTCGACAACCGCTCAACCCAATCCTTTTAATTGAGACGGATGAGAGTGCGAAGGAGAACCTGTTCAAACGTGGCCTGAGAGATGAGCCCCATCGTTTGATGAGCACCAACCAAAAAACGGACATGAACCGAGTGTCACGGTCGCAAATGATCTCCTTGGGGTAACCCTTGGTTCGAATCCAACTAGCGTAAAGAACCTCCGTCAACTCCGATGCCTTGGCATGATAGCGGCAAGGCAAAAACATGGCAAACGTGGTGAGTCGGTCGACCACCGTGAGAATCCCATCCACACCGGTCTTGTGCTTGGGGAACAACCCGGTGATATCCATGGCAATCGCTTCCCTTCACTGCAAGGGGACCGGTAATGGTCACAACTCGTCGTACGAACGATGATTGCGGGATTTGCAGCGTCGGCAAACCTCGCATGACTCACAATAGCACATGACTTAGGCCGGGCCACCAAGAGCGCTAGCGAAGTCGGCCAATCGTTCGATTGACTCCAGGTGGCAGGAGCGTCATGGAGCTTGCCGAGAAGCCGAGTACGCAAGTGGGAATCACTGGGCACGCAAAGATCCTCCCCCACGAGTGGATGAACAAATATCCCTCTTGGATCCGATAGTGCGATGGTACCGGATTAGGAGAGGAACAATTCGTGTACTTGTCGAGAAACTCGGGGGCGGTTTGGTAGCCGTAGATGAAGCTGTCCCACAAGTCGTCATCGATCTTGAAAGTCGAGTAGACTGCGGTGCAATGATCCGGACATCGTGACAGAGCATCCACAGAACGGTTCGACTTTCTTGGAATGTGATCAGGGAAAAAGTCAAACTGGTCGATGAAAGCCATCCAATAGGCAATGGTGCTATTGACCGTGTCTTGGGGCTTGTAGAAGACCAACGGATTGTTATCCGTTACCTATCAGAGTTGGCTTCGACCAAGAAAAGAATGCCGCCACCACTTGAGCGCGTGGACGAAGGCTAGTAACTCCTCCTTCCGTGCATCGTCGATCGAGTGCACGGCGGGCACTTTCTGGTTGAAATACTGGACCGGGTGCTGATTCAAGCCATCGTGTTGCTCGAGAACGATACCAATGCCATAGCCAGACGCATCGGTAGTGACGCACTTCGACAATAGTGGGACGTAGATGTGCAAGACCTCTGCTGATAGCAAAGCAGCTTTAAGGGCAAAAATGAGCCTCGCGCATCCTCACTGAAGTTGAACGGCCGGTCCTCGCATTGAAGCTTGGTCAAGTTGGTCGCGATCTTCGAACTAACCTTTGATAAAACACTGGCAGTAGCCGGCAAGGCCAAGAAACGAACGGACATCTGTAACGTTCCGCGGCTCCGGCCACTCTTGGACGACTGGAATCTTTGTCCGATAATGGACTGATGCTCTCCGGTGTGACGAAATGGCCCAAGTACTCTAGCTCTTGCCGGACAAATTTGCACTTGTCATGGTTGGCTTTGTACTTGGCGCGGCGGAGCGTCTCCAACATGCATCGAAGATGCTCGAGATGATCCTCCAAGCTCCAGCTATAGACGAGAATGTCGTCAAAGTAGACCAGCACGAACCAATCCAACATTGTGCGAAACTCGTTGGTCATCGCCGCTTGAAAGTCGTCGGGGCATTGGTGAGGCCGAAAGGCATGACCACCCACTCAAAATGCCTGTACCGCGTCTTGAATGCGGAGTTGTAGCGATCTTGCGGGCGTATCGAAATCTGATGATAGCCCAACTTCAAGTCCAACTTTCAAAAGTACTCCGCGTCGCCCAAACACTAAAGAAGATCGTCGATACGAGGAAGTGGCCCCACATTCTTGACGGTTTGCGCGTTGAGCTTGCGGTAGTCGACGTACAATCGCAGATCCTTATTCTTTTTTCATACGAAGAGAACCGGCGCACCATATGCTGGCGAAGGCGGAGAGGTGATGGCGGGAGGAGATGATGGGAGGAGGCGGATGGGAGGTGGCGGAGGTGGAGGAGAAGTGGCGGAGGCGGGGAGGAAAGCGACAGAGGAGATGGCGAGAGGAGGCGGGCGGGGGGAGGAAAGTGAGAGAGGAGATGGCGGGCGAAAGCGGACGGGGAGTGGCGAAGGTGGAGAGGAGATGGCGGGAGGAGGTGGCGGCCCTGCAACAGGCCAATGGCCAGCAGGTGTCGGGGGCCCTCTTTTTCAATGGGCACGACGATCCAGGCCGCCGGCGGTCCTACCGGGCTGATGGCTCAGATCGTCTGGCGATCTTAAGACTTTAAGATCGTGCGACGATCTAGGCCGTCAAGCAGGGCGGACGGCCTGGATCGTCATGCGATCTTGAAGTCTTAAAGTCTTAAGATCGCGTGGAAATCCGGACCGTCGGGCCGGTAGAACCGCGGGCGGCCCAGATCGCCCAATTCTCACGTTAGCGATTTCTATAAGTGTAGGGATAAGAGGAGGTCTCAGGTTCAAGGCTCCGCCAGCACAGCCAACACTTACAAGAGGGTATAGCAACACATATAGGCACGGGTAAGTCAACATCAGGTCCTGGGTTCAAACTCCAACAACAACAGCAACAGGTCGCGGGATAAAATCACGACAGGCTTAAGAAGGTGAATCATTTCAATAACAACAATGAGTGGATGAACCAGAATCAATATCTGAAGTTCCCTCTTACTGCCAGCACAACAATAGGTCCACCATAGCCATGGCTCCCCCCTTCACCTTCCTCTCACATCCCAAGGCTATGGCGGACTACTAATGGCTCTGCCCTCTTGTGCAGAAGACAACTCAAAGCAGCTATGGTTGCTGCTCTTCAGGACGCCATGCCTGACTCTGCCTTGAAGCTTCCTTGGTGCAGCACTACCCCAACTCGGGCCTTCCAGATGCAGCGCCTAAAAAGGTGATGAAGATGGTGTCCACCACAGCCAGGCAGGTACCTCGCCACTCTCCTCCTTCGCCCCTTTCTTCCCCCTCCTCAAGCTGGGCTGCTCGCCCTAGCCAGGCGCTCATCGTCGTCCTCCCAGGCAGCGCTCCGTGTTCAGCGCCCGCTCAAGCAGTATGTCACCAAACCTTGCACACCGCAAATCAGGAGGAGCTCCAGAAGATATAGCGGCCTACTTACCTCTTGGGCGGTGATTTCCTAGCTGCGCGGGCTCCCAGCAACCAGTACAGGCCCTAGACTCAGGATACTTGGCTTGGTACCGGCCAACCTCTAGCCTACCGCTACTGGGCCTCTACAATGCCAAATTTTTGTCTTCTTCTCCCCGGCCTCGAGTGCCTGACACTTCTACCACTACTTGAGTGGTACCGGCCTACCTGCTACTTGAGTGTTTTTCCCGCTGCTCTAAGTGTCGCAGGCCTACCCCTGCCACTTGAGTGTTTTCCCCGCTGCAACCCTCAAAGTCACGGCCACAGGTAAGTACCAGCCCTGCGGGGCCTCCAAACGAACAAATACCCTTGCGGGTCACACACACACTCAGGCCAACAAGCACTCAGACAGGTGTGGAGACCAGCAGGCATGCACACACACAGACTTAGAAAACGCAGCAGAATGCGGGAATCCCGGCAAGGCATACATTCCAGCAGCAAATCCCAGAAATCAGCAGTGTTCTCAGTCTGTGTTTTGGCGGGTCATTACAATATCCTCATTTTCAGATTATGTCTGCACACATTATCTTTTTCTGACTTCCAAGGAAAAATAAAGCAGGGAAAATGTTGCACAATGACAGGAAAAGAGAGATGAAGGAATATTAAAAGTGCAGAATAAGGAAGAGGAAGATGGTGGGTGTGTATGGCCATACCTTAATTCTGGCTTCCATGCTGAGCCGTCGCACCTTTTCTTGACCTGCCTTAATTAAAGATGAAGGAACTGGCTGGAACTGGGCAGTGCTTGGAGTTTGTCTAACAGCTGTGCTAGGGGTTGAGAGAGTCCTTGAGCTGACTGGTGGTGGGCTCAGCTTCTTTGTCATGCCTACCAGTGAGTTTGCACTGCTCTCTCTCCCAATCCCCAGGAGATCGCGAACGACATCATGTGTCATCCCTTCTGACTCTACCAGGCGTTTGCGCAGATCATAATTCTTCAGAGAAGACATACACACATTGAGAGACAGGAAAAAAGCATCCTCGTTAGCAGCAAATCACTTCAATACGACATGCGATGCATATCCTTTCTGACTCTACCAGGTGTTTGCACAGCTCATAATTCTTCACGGAAAGCATACACATTGAGAGGAAAGTAAGATACCATCCTTATTAACACCAAATCACTTCAATATTGGAATTGACTCAACTGGAACTCAAGAGCACATGCCATGCGATGATCCTTTCTCCTCCACCCTCTGACCTCATCATGCAGCCCACAAAAAAAAGGGGGGGAAAAAACAATTCTGAATCAGTGACTGCAATCTTGTAGGTTGTGTTCATATTTCACTTGGCAAAGGAGCAGGTGCCCTGAATCTCTGTTGTCACATTCAATCGCGCAGAATTTTACAAAAGGAAAGGCATGGGTGTGACAGACAATTTTGTTGGCTCACTGACTCACTGGGAGGCAGTCTATCCACCAAGATGCATTCAGTATTGACTACACAGGATTAACCTCAGCACTGTTGGCAGTCTATCCAAGATGCATTCAGCATTGACTACTCAGAGACAACTTGCTCTTGAGAGAACCAGTGGCCTTTACTCACACCAACCCTGTCGTTCTGTCCGAGCTGTTTGACCCATACGCATAATGAGAGCCACACCCAAAACTAGAAGGTGGAGGAAGAGGAGGAAGATGAGACAGAAGAGGCGGAAGAGGAGCAAGAGGAGACAGAAGGGGAGTAGGTGGAGGAAGATGATGAGGAAGAAGAAAACGAGGATAAAGGAAGGGTGGAGGGGAGCTTACCTGATCCTGAATGTGGCAACGGCTGCAGGGGGGGCAGGAGTCGGTGTACAACAGGGGTGACCACTTTGCCGTCTGAGGCACAAATTGCGTGAGTGGGGAGTGTGGGCTGGATGGCAACAGATAAAACCTACAGCCCAATCTCGGTTGTAGATCTCTTTGCGACCGTACAGCGCAGATTTCGCTCAGCAGAAGCCCTCTGTTTGTAATGGGAACGGCAGGAGGCCAAAGAACTGGGAAGAGCCTTCCCTCTGTGTGTGTGTGTGTGTTTAGCTAAAGAAACCACCACGCCAACCTCTTTTTCTTTTGTGGGTGTTCATTTGCTCACGCATGGTTTTGTGTGTGTGGGTGCGTGTAGCAATGAAATCCCTCCTTGATGATCCCATATGTTCACAATGTTGATGAGGGGATCATGTGCTGACATCACATGCAAAAATATCAGTATAGAAACCAGTATGATTAGCTGGAAAGTCTAGTTAGCTAGGCATTAGTTGTGATGGCTTCCAGATGTGCTGATAGATACAGGCACATGACATGGAAACATTGGCATAGAAACCAGTATAATGAGCTCGAAAGTATAGTTAATTAGGCATCACATACCACACTTGTAATTTTGATGTAATTGCACACCAACCTCTCAGAGTAAACACAATGTCGGCCTCTGTTCTTCAAGAAAGAAAATCAGGCCAACATTCCCACTAACCTCTTTCTGCAGCTTTGTTGCAAGCGATGTTGTCTCCTGCAACTGCACAAAAAGTGTTCGGGGATCTTCGTCACAGTTCACAGGCCGAGCAGATGTGTTTGCAGATACAGGTGATGTGCTAAATAGCACTCTTGCGAGTGACTTATCAATGTCCTGAGACGGCATTGTTCTCTCTTGGTCCTGTGTTCCTCGTGAAAGAGTTTGCCGTCTTGACAGACACTGCTCCTGTCCCCCTCTTTGAAGAGTCTGGCATGCCTTCAATTTATTGACCTGCGAATACCAAACCAGTATTGTACGTCAGGCTTTTTTCTCCCTTTTGTTCTCAAAAGGTTGTCGCGCACCGAAGCAAGCATTAAATCACTGTTCCAAATTCCATTCTTTAGTACACGACAACCCACACAACGGACATCACAACACGATTAAAGCAATCTGGAAACTAACCCAAAAACAGCTGATGAAGTGGCATTATATCTCAAAAATGAAGATCCAAAACCAACACATGACAGGCTTGATCCCCCCAATTACTCAAGAGTCGAGACCTACTACCTGGCTTACTGCCAAGTCTTCAACGCACAACTTCAAGCACAAGGGTTCAGCTGCCTGCTGTGAGAGGGTGGTTTAATTTCTTTTATATCCAGTAATAATCGGGAAGGAAGGCCGCTTTACAGCCATGAGCTAACAGCAGTGATGAATCATGGTCAGCTGCGGCATTCCTCTTTTTTTTTTGCCCTTTCCATGCTAATCTTCTCTGCATCGTTCCAATTTTAGCGGATTTCCCGAAGGACACAGCTGCAGCATTCCTACATTTGAACTTTCCCAATGTTTTCTCTCACAGATGTAGCGGTGGGAGTACTAGCACATGTTCCTTTTAGCGCAAATGGGTCTTTTCATCATCTGACTTGCCTTCCCCAACTTGGAACGATACAGCAGTGATGAATCATGGTCAGCTGCGGCATTCCTTGTTTTTTTTTTTTTTTTGCCCTTTCCATGCTAATCTTCTCCAATTTTAACGGGTTTCCCGAAGGACACAGCTGCAGCATTCCTACATTTGAACTTTCCCAATGTTTTCTCTCACAGATGCAGCGGTGGGAGTACTAGCACATGTTCCTTTTAGCGCAAATGGGTCTTTTCATCATCTGACTTGCCTTCCCCAACTTGGAGCGCCACCAACACTTGAAACCACCAGAAAATGTGACCTTTTTATGCTCTTTGTGCGTTGCCCACCGGCTTGCAACAGGTTCAAAGAATGTAAAGCCCATGTGTGAGTACATGGGACTAACCTCCTGTCTGGTATTTTCCAGGGTCTTAACCACAAGTTCACACGAACCTTAGCCTGCACTCCAAAACCCTGAGTGCGTTGTAAAATGTATCACAAAAAGTGCAGTGGTACCAGCCTCTGGGGCACATCAGTGTGTATTTGGTCCAAAAAGTGGAACACTCCCACAGGGCACTACCGGCCCATTCTCCAAAGCGGAAGTGTCTTGGCGCTTCTGCCAGCGAGACACCATTTCTGCTTCGGTTGAACTGGCAGTGTAAGGTCCCAAGCAGGGTTGCACACCTGCCGACCACCGACCTTACTGCAGCCGACCAGTAGGGCTGTCATGTACAAGTGAGAACTCACAAGTGTGGTGCAGAATCGAGAATCGACAGCGAGATATGGAGCAAGTGAAATGCAGCGGAAGACTGATATCGAGGATCTGACTCACAACTCTCATAGATAGCATCCACTCATCATCATCATCACGCAGGTGTGAGCGGGGCCTGGCGCAAACACCGAGACCAGGCATCAGGCCCAAAGCCCATACACAAATGAAGAAGAGGGGAAAGAGACGGCGATGGGGGAGATGGAGGAGGTCGTCAACCCAAAACATCATTGATATCGAATCCCCAAAATAGTCTCCCAAAATGTCTCAATCCGAATACAAATCGGAGTCCAATGTCGCTCAGTGTCACCTCATGAATCTCTCTCTGTCTCGTAACCAGAAGAAGGTGAAGACGCCGGAATGGACGTGTATGAACAGAAGACGAAGAAGGAGATGTCCCTTCTTCCTGGCAGACCCACGACTAACCTGCGTAAAGGTGTCGCCTTGATGCAGGTGCAGGTGCGCGGAACACGAAGCTGGAGCTACGGCGTCCCAGGCGAGTTCTCCGGTAAGTTCCCTGGCCTCTGCCTCCATCCTCAACTCTCTCACTTTCTCTCTCTCTGAGGTCAGGCAATCCCTGTTGCTAACAGCACATAGTGCTCCCCTCTAACCCTAACAGGCGCCCATCGTGTTGACTACTACTAGCAGTAGAACTACCCCCCTCTACTAATGAAGGACCAGCTAAATATAGAGCCAGCTAAATATAGAGCTAGTCCGAGTGAGCCGGCCTTGAAAACTGGTGCTAACTGACGCCAAAACTGCTGTGACGCTGGGCCCAACTCTGAATCAAGGTATGGCGCCTAAACTAGCGCTCGAAAAGTCCAGCATCAGGGCCTCACTCAACTGGCTCCTAAACCTGCAGCGCCTAACTGACCTACCGAACTAACAGACTGTGGCGCCTAAACAGAACGGCGCCTGATATGTCCCCACCTAAGCCTGAAACCGGCCTAGGCTCTAACGTGGGCCCGAAGTATCCCGCCTAAAACCTCCACTCACTAACCTAGGCCTACCCGACGGGCCTTGCAGGGCCCCTGTGGAATCTGTGCATGCCACACCCCCTTCTCCTTGAAAGGACAAGGGCAGAGCTGTCTATCAGAGGGACGGACCGTAGTCCGGGTGGGATGGGTAGGTTGCTGCTGAGAAGCTTCAGTGGCCAGACATCGGCGCTCATAGTTGGCGTAGATGTCTGGGGCGGAGTTCTTCAACGCATCTCTTGAAATCCATCGTTTGTCCTCGTGGTCACACTGTCGGAATCTGACTTTGTACTGTGTCGGCTTGTTGCCGTAGTGGCTATATGTGATGACCCGCTCAACCTCTTGCTCGCCGTCCATTGAAGGAGGGTCCTGCGGTCGTCGATCCGGAAAGTCGTCGTTCTTGGCCGGCAAGTAAGTAGCTAGCTTCAACGCGTGAAAGGCCGGGTGGACCAGCAAATGAGGTGGAATATCAATCACGAAGGACGGTGTCGTACCAAATACCCTTACAAGGGTATTTGGCGTACTTTTTGCAAGTTACGCCGATGCAGCCTCGTTCGATGTTGACGGCGTAGGTGGGGCCAAAAGGTGAGTCCCCGCCCAGATGAGCGGCGCGCATGGTGTGATGATGGCGGAGTGCAGCCTCGTGAGGCCCAGATGGGGGCGGCGTCAAAAGGCCGCAACAACGGTCCCCTCCCTTTCCCCTCGATCTTAGGTCTCGATTTTATTTTTATTTAGTCCCATTTTGGGAACTGGAACAGGTGTCAGTTCCGAGACCGGTGTTCTGACCAACTGGCCTAGCCCAGTTGGTACGCCCACAAACTGTTGAAATATGAACCTGAGTTCGATCTCCACTGGAAGCAGATGAGTAAAATACTGCTATTCTGAATTACCCGTGGCGGGCCAGTCCCACAATGGTATTTCTGAGCCATGGCCCCGACACTGTCCTTCGGGACATTCATTAAATTGGAACGGATACAGAGGAGATGGCATGGCCCATGTGTTTGGATCCACTCCTGGGCATGGAACCAATTGGCCAGGCTCGGTTGGTATTCCCCTGAACTATTGAGGCGCAGACTTGAGCTCGAAGCCCACTAAACTCAGGCAAGTGAAGGCAGTGGGGGATTTACGGCGTGAATCACCATTTACCTTTAATTTTATTTTTATTTTTCTCACTTTGTGAGGTGGCGTCGGGGCTTGGTCCTTGCCTCCCGATCCAAGTGAAAGGTATTGTCAGGCCCTCGTGGCCTGTCCGATCCAAGTGAAAGGTATTGTCCGGCCGGGAGTTTAGCTAGGGCGGCACATTTGTTAGAAGATAATGTGAGTGTAATAGGGTGAGCCAACGAGAACAGAAATCTTGTGTAGAGCAAAAGGGCAAAAGCTTTGTTTTGCTTTTGTTTTTCTTCGTTGATTTTGTTTGTTGCAAGGCTGTCGGATCAGCCGCTAGCAGGACAATGCTGGCCCCGAGGAGTCGAAGACAGAGGGGATGAAGGAGAGGACAAGCGGGCTGACTTCAACACGGGAGGGAAGGCGATGGTGAAGACGAAAGGGGAAATGAGTATCACGAGGTAAAAACTGCATAGCTTGCCCGATTCTTAGCGGAATTGGGCGAAAGAAGATGCTAATCGTGGGTTTTGACATGCCACGGTCAAGGCAGGGCAGGTTGTGGGAGCTGCATGACCACCACAAGAGGTTTGAGCGTGGCCGGGGAGCTTCCCATGTTCTAGCAAAAGATTCATGGTCGTTTCCTGCACATCTGACGATTAGCGGGGCGCTGATTCACGTTGTGGCTGTGATTTTTGTGGGGAGTACCATTATGGTTTCCCTCACGGTCGTAGTTTTCCTCGTGGTGCTCTTTTGTCGTACAGCTCGTCATCGTGGTACTTACCTCAGTTGCGGCTGTTGGTGTCCCTCGTAGTCGTCATCCTCTTCGTGGCAGCATCTTCCTTACTCTGATCGTGGTGCTCGTCGCCAAAGTCGTTGTGACTGGCTTCATTGTGCCCCTCGTCCTGTCCAAAGTTGGGATACAGGCGTTGTCCTGTGCGGTCTTCTCCATCCCAGTGTGACCATCGTAATCGTTGTCCTAGACATCCTCTACGTTCAGGCGCTCATCACGCATATCCTGCCGATCACATTGCTCGTAGTGGTGGCTGACTCTATCGAGCTAATGTATGTTGTTCTGCGGCGCAAGTGTGCTGGTCACCATAAAAATAAAAATAAAAAAAAAGCGGCTGTTATGTGTGAGAACACGCAAGAGAGAGAGAGAGAGAGAGAGAGAGAGAGAGAGAGAGAGAGAGAGAGAGAGAGAGAGAGAGAGAGAG